GAGGGTGGCTTGCAACTGAGAGACTGGCAAGACAGGAGGGGCAGGGCCAGGGAGGATTTGAATGCACAGCTGAGGAGCATGGTTCCCACTCAGGCCCTGTCCCTTTCTCTTGGGATGAGAGAGAATTTGGAATTGGAGCATTTGTGCCGTTTTATTTATGTACACAGCTCTCTGCCTCTGGCCTGTGATCCACTCAAGTGTGGGTTCAGCTTGCTAATCTTCCCCTTCTTGCCCCATCTCCTCTTGTCCCACAGGGATCTGGGCCCCCAGAGCCGGGAGCTGACCCTCAAAGTGCTGAGGAGCAGCAGCTGTGGAGACAGTGAGTGAGGGGCGGGAGGGGCACCCCTGGGTGGGTGCAGAGTGGAGCCTGGCCGTAGGCCCAGCTCATAGTGCCATCCCTTTCCCCAGCCGAACTCCTAGGCCAGGCCACACTGCCTGTGGGCTCCCCCTCCAGACCACTTTCTCGAAGACAGGTATGCCCACTCACCCCAGGGCCAGGGAAAGCCCTGGGACCAGCAGCCACCATGGCAGTGGAGGTAAGAAGGTGACCCCTGGGGCAGTGGGAGGACACAGGGGATGGGCAGTCTCTGAGGCTCTGCCTCTTCTCTCTCCCACCCCTGGGCAGCTTCAGTACGAGGAGGGCTCTCCCCGGAACCTGGGTACTCCCACCTCCTCCACTCCACGCCCCAGCATCACACCTACCAAGAAGATTGAGCTTGACCGGACCATCATGCCCGATGGCACCATTGTCACCACAGTCACCACCGTCCAATCCCGGCCCCGTATAGATGGCAAATTAGGTAAAGAGAAGGAGCCTGGGAGCCCAGCTCTAACCAGGGGCCTGGGACTGCAGACCCAAGGCGGGACAGTGAAAGAGGAGAGAAAGCCTTAATTCCAACTCCCCCTGTTTTCAGATATTCCATTCCAGTCCTACCACATCTTCCTCCCAATCTTTGTCTCTTTCAAATTTTCTGTTACCTTCTGCCATTTCCCCAGCAATTCCTCTCACTCTACCACCCTTCTGGATCCTCGTGCCCCTCCTCACACAGGACTGTTGCACTCCCACCTTCCAGCTTCTCCTCTGGCTTTTCACAGGTGTCCTTAGCCCTAGCTGACTATAAATGTCCATCCTGCTACCCTCCAGTACCCCCTGGGTTCCTCCAGCAAACCCAGAGGCCTCTGTGGCATTTCTGCCCCACTCAGTGGGCCCCCATGGTACTTCGGCCATTATAGGGGCCCCCATGGAATTGCCCCAACCTCAGGGGACCCCAGTACCCCCACTGTCCCCCCTCCATATTTTCATAGCATCTCCCCACACCCTCAGCAGGCCCCATGGCACTTTCCTACACTCCCATTAGCTCCTGGGGTGTCTTTTAGTCCCCACGGCATCTTCTTAATCACCCTTGTGATTAATCACCCCTCAATCATTCTTGCCCTCTGAGTCACCCAAAGTCTGCATCTCAACAAAGACAGTAGGGGTGGGGGCCACTCTGAAGCACCTCCCAGCTCACTGACCCTCCCCCACCCACCAGACTCCCCCTCCCGCTCCCCGTCCAAGGTGGAGGTGACCGAGAAGACGACGACTGTGCTGAGTGAGAGCAGTGGCCCCAGCAATGCCTCCCATAGCAGCAGCCGTGAGTGGGGAATGGGGTGCATGAGTGTGGGTTGGCCCTGGTGCCCCAGCATCAAAAAGTACTCTGAGTTCCAATCCAAGAAAGAGCCAGGGAGAAGTCAGGTTATCCATCCTTTGCACCCCCAGCAGGGGACAGCCACCTTTCCAACGGCTTGGACCCTGTAGCAGAGACAGCGATTCGCCAGCTGACAGAGCCCAGCGGGCGGGCGGCCAAGAAGACACCCACCAAGCGCAGCACTCTCATCATCTCTGGTGTTTCCAAGGTAACAGGGCTCTGGGAGAGGAGCTGGGATGGGGAGAAAGCCCTAATGAGTCGGTCACTCCTGCCCATTTAAACTCGTCCCTCCTGCCAGGTGCCCATTGCTCAGGACGAGTTGGCACTATCCCTGGGCTATGCGGCATCCCTGGAAGCCTCAATGCAGGATGATGCAGGGACCAGTGGAGGTCCCTCTTCACCTCCCTCAGACCCACCAGCCATGTCTCCAGGACCCCTAGATGCCCTCTCCAGTCCTACAAGTGTCCAGGAAGCAGACGAGACAACCCGTTCGGATATTTCTGAGAGGCCATCTGTGGATGACGTTGAGTCGGAAACGGGGTCCACTGGTGCCCTGGAGACCCGCAGCCTCAAGGATCACAAAGGTAGGGGGACGTTGGCAGGTTGCCCCTCATCTCTTCTTTTATACACATATCATGACCTGGGGGACCTCAAGCCAACGTGCCTTCTCTTCTCCCCTAAGAGACAGCCGGAGTTCCCAGCCTAGTTCAGCCAAGCTAGCCTAGAGGAGGGAACTTGGTGCCTTGGTTCCTGGCCTAGATCTGACATGCTTGTGATAGGAAGGGATGCCAGATTATTTCCCTTTACCTCCATTGTTCTTTCTTCCTGAGTCTAAGTGCCAGTTTTCCTGTCCTTTAAAAAAAAATTATAAAAATTTATTCCCAGGCAGGGCGTAGTGGCTCACGCTGGCACTTTGGGAGGCCAAGGCAGGCGGATTACCTGAGTACAGGAGTTCAAGACTAGCCTGGGCAACATGGCAAGACCCTGTCTCTACTAAAAATACAATAAATTGCTCGGGCACAGTGGCACACACCTGTAATCTCAGCTACTCAGGGGGCTGAGGTGGGAGGATTCCTTGAGCCTGGGAGGTTGAGGTTCAAGGAGGTTGAGGCAGTGAGCCATGATTGTGCCATTGCACTCCAGCCTGGGTGACAGAGTGAGACCCTGTCTCAAAAAAAAAAAAAAAAAAAAATTTTCCGTGGTTTGGCACAGTGGCTCATGCCTGTAATCCTAGCACTTTGGGAGGCCAAAGTGGGTGGATCACGAGGTCAGGAGGTCAAGACCAGCCTGGCCAACATGGGGAAACCCCGTCTCTACTAAAAATACAAAAATTAGCCAGGTGTGGTGGCAGGCGCCTGTATTCCCAGCTACTCGGGAGGCTAAGGCAGGAGAATTGCTTGAAGCGGTGGGGCGGAGGTTGCAGTGAGCCGAGATCATGACACTGCCCTCCAGCCTGGGTGACAGAGTGAGACTCCGTCTCAAAAAAAAAAAAAAATTCTTCCCTTTCATTCTGCACCCTCTCCCCCATGAGTATAAGAAATCCTACCCCAGGCCAACCCTTGGATTGTCCTTCTGGCAGCAAGACAGGCTGTGACCAGTGGTGGTAGTTCTTCTAACTTTAAAAGTTGAGAGGCTCACCCTAAAACATCTTCATTCCTCTACCAGTGAGACTATCAACCATGGATGGATCTATTTTTTAAGCCTGCATCACTTCTTGAGATAATGAGGTTTCTACCTCCAAAGCCTGCTGGGTGAGCACCCTGCTCATTATACTGATTCTGAATTTACCTCTTTGAAGTTTCTAGATGCACCACTTCCTGCTCACAGCCTGGAATTCGGTTAACAAGTCAGTGTCAACCCACCTTTCCCTTCATGATTTATAGGCTTTTGGGAGTACCTTCTGGTAGCTTTTGTCTTCCCATAGGAAAGAGGCCCAATCCCAGTTTGTCCTCACAAAGCAGCCAGCCCCGTGATAACTCTTTTGCGGGCAGAGTTAGGAGTGTACACAGATCTCCACAAGTACCACGATTTTTGCCTCAGGAAGGATAAAGCACATGTTTGTTTATGCTTTCGTTTTCTTTTTTCTTTTTTTCCACGAAGCCTTTTGGAGAAGTATGTTTCTGCTTTTTTTCCTGAGGAAGCCTGGCTTCTGGGCCACGGGACTGATCCTGTCCACATCCTCGATCCCTCCATTCTCGGTCATGTCTCTGCCCCCGTCTCACCCCACCCCGTGCCCCTCTCTGCCTTAGTTTCCCCTCTTCCCCTGCAGTGAGTTTCCTGCGCAGCGGCACTAAGCTCATCTTCCGCCGGAGGCCTCGACAGAAGGAAGCTGGCCTGAGCCAATCACACGATGACCTCTCCAACGCAACGGCCACGCCCAGTGTCCGAAAGAAGGCCGGCAGCTTTTCTCGCCGCCTTATCAAGCGCTTTTCCTTCAAATCCAAACCCAAGGCCAATGGTAACCCCAGCCCCCAGCTCTGAGAACCCTCCTTACTTCCTGAGCTAGGAAAGGGCACAAGTTCTCTTAGCCCATTCCCCACCTCCCCTTCCATACCCCTTCCTGGATCTCCAGCGCCTGGGCCAGGAAAGTCCTCTGGGTTCCAGGAAGCCCTGTCCACCCTGGGCCACCGGGCTGGTTGGAAGGATATTTGGAACGGGAAGCACATGAGAGGTGGGCACCCGTTGCCGAGGACATAGACGAGGGACTGGTGGCTGGGAGGGAGAGAAGGGCCCTGTCTGGCATGTGTGGGCATTCCCCAGAAGTGTTTGCCTCCTGCTGAGCCTGGTCCCTGAGTGGAGTCCCAGGGTGCTCAGCTCTTCAGCTGACCCTTCCTCCCTTATTTATTCTCTTTTCTATTTATATGTGTGGCTTAGGACCCTCCGTGAACAGATGATAGAGGGCATCTCTCCTAGGTGACCCTTCTTTTCTGTCCCAGGAGGGTGGGTAATTCCCTTCAGGATGGGGCTCCCACACCTCCCTCAGGTCCCCACTCAGACCAGCACCCGTGTCTGCCTCTGAGAGTGTTGGCAGCTCACAGACAGCAGGGCCGGCCCGGGATGGGGGGCAGGTACTCCCCACCTTTCTGCCTCCCTTCCTGCTCCTCATCCCTCCCTCCCCCTTTATTACCGTTTTTTGTACTTGATGCCTTCTCTGTGAGCAGTGGCTCTGTGGGAAGGAGGGAGCCGGGAGCCTGCTGGGAAGCCTTCCCCAGAGAGATGGCTTTAGGGGCTTTATTTAAAGACTGTGATGGTGGAGCCACGCAAGGCTGCACCTCTGTGTGTTGGGAGACGATGATGATGTCCATTGCTGTGTGATGGCTTGGAATTTAATTTATTAAAGTGAAATTGGAGTTTATAAACTGGACAACTGGTTATCCTTTGAAAGGCAGTAGGCAGCCAGGCTGTGACATGGATGGTGTGGGAGGATGAGAGACGGGCCCGGATAATGAGGTTGGGTAGATGACACACATTGTGGATCTGCTAAGAAGTTCCTGCAGGGAAGAAGGGGCGTGCAGAGAAAGGATGGAAGAGACAGGAGGCTCTGGAGTGTGAAATTGTAGCCAAAAAGTCAATCGACTAGTACAGGTTAGTCTTCATTCCCCTTTCTGGAACACACTCCTCCTTCTAGGATGTAATGGAGATCAGAGCTTGGACCCTGTAACTAGACTGCCTGCCTGGGTTTGAGTCCCAGCTCCTCTAATTACTTGTGTGACCTTGGGCAAGTTATGTAACCTCTTCAGTGCCTCAGTTTTCTCATCCGTAAAATGGGAACTTCAATCATCATAGCTATCATTTGGCTGTGGATGAGAAGTAAATGAAGTGCTGAGTAAGTGTTAACTGTTGCCTCAGAAGAAACTGGGAGGGGGAAGTCTTAGAAGTGTTTCAACATAGAAAAGCTCTCATTCTGAAATGTGGGCAAATTTCAGGGATTGATAGATCCTAGCAAACTCTTGTGTCCCTGGTTCCTGTGCTGGGGATCTTATACAGGATTTGAACCAGGTAACCTGCTACAGGATATTGGGCAGAATGCAGGACCAGGAAGCAAGAAAACTGAGTCTGCCACAAACAAACCAAGTGATCTTGAGCAAGCGACTTCTCCTTTGGGGACCTCAACTTCCTCATCTCTAAAATAAGGGTGACCTGGATAATCATTCAGTTCACTTCCAGCCTTGACATCCTATGACTACCTACATCTCAGGGTGTTTAGGGCACATGCCTTTGGGTAGATAGCATGTGGAAATTGTTACTGTTCCCCATGCTCCTGTCTACACTGTTAACCAAATATGAGATATCTGGGAAGAATGGAGAGCATAGATATTTGGCTTTTTTTTCAATTAGATAATTTAGTTTTATATATTTGGGGGCACAAGTGCAGGTTTCTTTTTTTTTTTTTTTTTTTTTGAGACAGGGTCTCACTCTGTCTCCCAGGCTGAAGTGCAGTGGTGCGATCTTGGCTCACTGCAACCTCCGCCTCCCCGGTTCAAGCGATTCTCCTGCCTCAGCCTCCCGAGTATCTGGGATTACAGGCACATGCTACCACACCCGGCTAATTTCTGGATTTTTAGTAGAGCCAGGGTTTCACTATGTTGGCCAGGGTGGTCTCAAACTCCTGACCTCAAGTGATCCACCCGCCTCAGCCTCCTAAAGTGCTGAGATTACAGGCGTGAGCCACCGCGCCCGGCCTAGTGCAGGTTTCTTTTTTTTTTTTTTTTTTTTGAGACGAGTCTCACTGTGTCTCCCAGGCTGGAGTGCAGTGGCGTGATCTCGGCTCACTGCAAGCTCCGCCTCCCGGGTTCATGCCATTCTCCCGCCTCAGCCTCCCGAGTAGCTGAGACTACAGGCACCCGCCACCACGCCCGGCTAGTTTTTTGTATTTTTAGTAGAGACGGGGTTTCACCGTGTTAGCCAGGATAGTCTCGATCTCCTGACCTCGTGATCCACCCGCCTCGGCCTCCCAAAGTGCTGGGATTACAGGCTTGAGCCACCGCGCCCGGCCGTGCAGGTTTCTTACATGCACTTATTGCATGCATAGGGGTGAAGTTTGGGCTTTTTTTAGTGTACGCATCGCCCAAATAGTGAACATCATACCCAATAGGTAGTTTTTCAACCCCCACCCTCCTCCCACCTTCTCACCTTTCATAGTCTCCGATGTCTTTTATTCTGCTCTGTATGTCCATGTATACCCATTATTTAGCTCCCACTTATAAGTGAGAATATGCCATATTTGACTTTGTTTCTTGAGTTATTTCACTGAGGATAATGGCCTCTGGTTCCATCCATGTTGCTGGAAAACACATGATTTCATTCTTTTTTATGGCTGAGTAGTATTCCACTGTGTGTGTGTTTGTGTGTGTGTGTGTGTGTGTGTGTTGGGAGATGATCATGATGTCCATTGCTGTGTGATAGCTTGGAATTTAATTTATTAAAGTCAAGTTGGAGTTTATAAACTGCATTTTATCACTCACTACATTCGCTACATTTTCTTTATCCAATCCTCCATTGATGGACACATCGATTTGGTTGATTTTTATATAGTGAAATGTTCAATTCTAGGTCATGAAAATTCAAAGAGATTTTTCAAGCTGTTTCCCCTAATCTAAGAAATGTAACTCTAGGCCGGGCGCGGTGGCTCAAGCCTGTAATCCCAGCACTTTGGGAGGCCGAGACGGGCGGATCATGAGGTCAGGAGATCGAGACCATCCTGGCTAACACGGTGAAACCCTGTCTCTACTAAAAAAAATACAAAAAACTAGCCGGGCGAGGTGGCGGGCGCCTGTAGTCCCAGCTACTCGGGAGGCTGAGGCAGGAGAATGGCGTGAACCCAGGAGGCGGAGCTTGCAGTGAGCTGAGATCCGGCCACTGCACTCCAGCCTGGGCAACAGAGCGAGACTCCGTCTCAAAAAAAAACAAAAAAACAGAAATGTAACTCTAGTGGTTCATAGAGGAACAGTTTTTCTACCAGTATGACAGGACAGCCAAACACAATGAACTTGTGATTGCACAAGAAACTTTTGTTGATGGAAGAACAGGTATTCAGATTTCTACAAGACCTGGGGACTGAGTAGATGGCAACTGGAATCTGTATTGAGCTTCCAGTGCTGAGCTGCCCAGAGTTCCATGGAATGACATATTTTAGTGAAGAAGAGCTTGATCACGTTTCAAAAATAGGGAATTTTTAAATGAATGAAAAAAATACGAAACATATTTTCATCAACTTAATCCATTTCACACTTTCAGAAGAGATCCACAGCTTTTAATGAGTATGAATTATGCTTTCAGTTTTTGTGGCAGCTTTTAAAGAACAAATCTTGGGATATGTCTGAATTACCCAGCCAAAATTGTGGCTTGTTTTCAAGAGAAGCAGATTGAGATAGAAGTAAACTATGCTAGACAGCATGACACTGCTTTAAATTTTGGAAACATATATATGGATCCCAGAGCAATCCTGAAATTTTTGCTCTGTAACCTATGTTTGAGTTTACACAGCTCTGTGAATGAACTTTTTCTTCATAAAATTGCTAAATAAAGCTAAAAGCTATTTTCAGTGAAGCAAATCTGAATTAAAATGAGGTTGGCATTTCATGAAGTACTACTATATGCATTTTTGAATGAATAAAGTTGGTAAGATATATTCTGTTACTTTTGAATTACATTTTTTAAAACTTTTTTTTTTTTTTTTTGAGACAGTGTCTCTCTCTGTTGCCCAGGCTGGAGTGCAGGGGTGTGATTTTGGCTCACTGCAACCTCTGCCTCCCGGGTTCAAGCGATTTTCCTGCTTCAGCCTCCTGAGTAGCTAGGACTACAGGTGCCCACCACCACACCTGGCTAAATTTTTGTATTTTTAGTAGAGATGGGGTTTTGCCATGTTAGCCAGGCTGGTTTCAAGCTCCTGACCTCATGATCTACCCTCCTCGGCCTCCCAAAGTGCTGGGACTACACGCATAAGCCACAGCGCCCCGCAAAACCCTATTTTAAAATAGGAACCAAGTTACAACTCACTGTTGTTAAAACCAAAAGTCAAAATTTATGCACAAGTATGACTTTACTATCTTAATGGCATTTAAATTTTTATTTTATATATATTGAACATTTAATGTGTTTGCTGATTATACAAATTATAGAGGTTTATTTTTATATTAGAAGATACAGAAAACTACAATGCAATAAAATATCAATCTTAACGAACTTTATTGAGGTATATCATTTAACAAGTATGTCTTGAACCCTTACTGAGTTTCAGCCACTGGGCTGAGTGATGGGTTTTTTGTTTTGTTTTGAGACAGAGTCTTGCTCTGTCGCCTAGGCTGGCGTGCAGTGGTGCCATCTCAGCTCACTGCAACCTCTGCCTCCTAGGTTCAAGCGATTCTCCTGCCTCAGCCTCCTGAGTAGCTGAGATTATAGGCGCCCGCCACAATGCCCAGCTAATTTTTGTATTTTTAGTAGAGACAGGGTTTCCCCATGTTGGCCAGGCAGGTCTTGAGCCCCTGACTTCATATGATCCACTCGCCTTGGCCTCCCAAAGTGTTGGGATCACAGGCGTGAGCCACGACACCCGGCCCACTGATGGAGTTATAAAGGTGAAGAACTAGTCTAGCGCAGAATGCAGAGTAAACAGACGAATACAATGTGATTGAGCTGTATTGTTAAATACAAGAAAGGACTATCAGGAAGACTTTTTGGAAAAAGTGTCTACACTGAGACCATAAGAATTAGTAGGAATCAGTCAAATAAATGTGGGAGGAGGAGAAAGGGATTATTCCAGGTAAAGAAAACAAGTCCAGGGCTTGAGAGGTAAAAGGTGGCTTGGTGTGGTGGAAAAGGTGAAAGAAATTTGCGACTGGAGAGCAAGAAATATGGTCGAGAGGGACTAAAAAAAAAAAAGTAGGGAGAGCCCAGATGCCGAAGGGTCTAAAAAGCCTCAGTAAGGTTTTGGAGCTTTGCCCTGAAGGCAATAGAATGCCTTTGAATTGTCTGAAGCAGGTGGTAACTTGATCAGGTCTACTTTTTGCAAAGTGGAGAATGCTTTGGAAGGAAGCAAGTGTGCACGCAGCGGGACCCGTTAGACTAATGTATAAATCCTGCCTGGAGGTCATCACTGGACAGGGGAGGTGGGGGAGGCGGTGAAGATAAAGAAAAGGGGATGAATTTGAAATATCCTGTTTTAAAAGGAGGTAGAATCCACAGAACTTGGCAATGGATTGGATGTGACAAGTGAGAGGAATCAATGATGACTGCCAGGTTTCCGACCTGAACGAGTGGATGGATGAAGGGAAGCCGAGTTTTGGAGGGAAAGAGAAACATAATACCAACATTTAAAACATAGTAAGACTAAGAGGCTGAAGGAAAGGGTAGAACCTTCAATCTGAGCCGAGCAAGGCCGACAGCGCTGGGCAGCCTCCCACGCCTTTTCCTCCGCGAGGCCCACGCAACCGGCCAACTAAACCGAAGAACCACGTGAGGGAGACCCCACTGGGCACCGGGCGCGAGCCCTGCGCATGCCCGTTGGGTCCCGGAGGCCGAGTCTGCGCAGTTGGGGGAATTCAGGCCCATACGCTCCCCGCCTTTGCGTCGCCCCGAACATCGAGGCGCGGTCATGCGCTACCTTTTGCACGTATCCGGTCGTCCCTCTGTCCGCCCGGGACGCCTAGCCCCACCCACCGTTCCCGCCCCTTCCGTGTTTTGGTGCGCACGGGTTCCGCCAGACAGTACTACCATTGGCTGTCAGTCGGATCCGAGAACGACGATTGGCTTTCCTTGACCGTCCCTCAAGCACCTCCCCGGAGATGGTCTGAGGTGGGAGAAGAGCTGAAGAGACCCGGAGCCGACGGATGGTAAGCTCGGGTATGTGATCTGCAGAGGCTGCAGGAGGCCGGGCTCATCCCGAGCCGCTTCGGCGAGTCTTCTTGCCGCTTGGCCACGCTGGTCTGCCCTGGTCCGGTCCCCTCACCCCGACTTGAACCTCCCTGCTTTCTAGTCAAGGGGCTTCGCTGCGGCTGAGAGTCGGTCGCTGCCACGCCTTGGGGGGAAGGATTCCGGGAAGCCTGCGAGACTGCGAGTGGAGAGGTTTTGTCCAACGGGACGGTCTCCTTCCTTCTGTCTAAATTCTACTTGTCCTTCGAGGCGTGGTGCGGGCCCCATCGCTTAGGGGAGCCTTGCTTTTCGCCTGACCGCGGAGGTTTCTTTCTGTCCTGGTCTCCCTCATCGGGTACTTTGTTTTGGTCGTTGTCTTCACATATCAGTCTTATGTCTTTGGCCAAATTATGAGTTCTTAGGCGTTTAGGACCCTCTTTTTCTTGAACACCACAGTTCATTCATTGTCTTGCATTACAATATATGCTCTCTTAAGTGTTAAGAGGGTGGAGTGATAATCATGCCCCTGTCTCCTCAGAGTAGAAACAAGCGACACAGAAAGAGAAATTAAAGAAGCCAGGAGCACAGTCAGAGAGAGTCAGGGAGTTTTGCCCAGGTTTCAGATCATTCTGTATCTCCAGCTAGCTTGCCTCCTTGGTCTTACCCAGTAGTCTAACAGCAGGTATATGTTTAGAATATTTGTGCTCGGCACAGTATAGGGACACAGGCAGGTATGATATGGTTTCTGCTCAGAAGCTTCTTATAGTCCAATTGGGTAAACGAGACTAGAACATATAAAACGACCGTGGCAACATAAAAATAGGGTTGAGGTTATATGGTGTCAGCTGTGCCAGCCATAGAACTAAGGAGCAAAAGTAGATCCAGGGATGGGGTAGTTTAGGAATGCTTCCCGGAATGTGATTACCTCCTGATATTTATTGAGTACCTGGGGTGTACAAAGCTCTGTGCTGAATCTGGGAACGAGAAATGAATAAGTGATGGCTACTATCCTGAGAAACTCCTAGTCTAGGGGAAACAAGTTTCATTGCAGTGATAGCAAAGATGTGGATGGATGCTGTGGGCAGGAGATGGGATATGCCAGCTGTACCTGGATGAATTGGGAAAGGGGTCATCAAAGAGAGGGCTTTTGGGTTTGAAGGGCAAATAGAAGTTGCATAGGCAGGCCTATCGCGGTGGCTCACACCTGTAATCACAGCACTTTGGGAGGCCGAGGCGGGTGGATCACTTGAGGTCAGGAGTTTGAGACCAGCCTGGCCAACATGGCAAGACCCTATTTCTACTAATACTACAAAAATTAGCCGGCCGTGTTGGTGCGTGCTTATAGTCGCAGCTATAATACGTCGGAGGTTAAGTCACAAGAATCGCTTGAACCTGGGAGGCGGAGGTTGCAGTGAGCCAAGATCACACCACTGCGCTCTAGCCTGGGCAACAGAGCAAGACTCCGTCTCCAAAAAAAAAAAAAAAAGAACTTGCATTGGCATAGAGTTTTAGGAGAATGTAGGGTATTCAGAGACAAAGATGATGGAATCAGAGGAAAAAGGAATGAAGTATGGCTGAGGAAGCCAGAGAACAGCATCGTGTGGGGGAAAGAGCATGATCTCTGGATTGGAATGAGGGTGCTCTTACATCAGATGAAGTGTAGAGAGGGCTCACCACAGGGCTGACACACCGTAGCCTCTCAGTAGATGTTCGTTTCCCTACCTAGACCTGGAGAAGTAAAAATGAGACCACTTTGAGAAGAGCCTTGCATTTCATACTGTAATAGAGAGTCAGAGGAGGTGTGGGATTTTATGACTTTTGGAAGCTGTTTTTCTACTTTTCTTACCCCAACATTATAAAAGCAGTCAATGTTCAATATTTCTTTCTTCTTCTTCTTCTTTTTTTTTTTTTTTTGACAGGGTCTGGCTCTGCCGCCTAGGATGGAGTACAATGGTTTGATCTTGGCTCTTTTGCAACCTCTGCCTCCTGGGCTCAAGCCATCCTCCCACCTCAACCTCCCAAGTAGCTGAGACTACAGGTGCATGCTACCACATCGGCTGTTTTTATTGTCGTTGTTTTTTGAGATGGAATCTTGCTTTGTCGCTAGGCTGGAGTACAATGGTGCGATCTCGGCTCACTGCAACCTCCGCCTCCTGGGTTCAAGCGATTCCCCTGCCTCAGCCTCCCTGGTAGTTGGGACTACAGGCGTATGCCACCACACCCAGCTACTTTTTTGTATTTGGCCAGAATGGCCTCGATCTCCTAACCTTATGATCCGCCCACCTCGGCCTCCCAAAGTGCTGGGATTACAGGCATGAGCCACTGTGCCTGGCTGATTTTTGTATTTTTAGTAGAGACGGAGTTTCACCATGTTGCCCAGGCTGGTCACAAACTCCTGAGCTCAAGCCATTTGCTCACCTCGGCCTGCCAAAGTGCTAAGATTGTGAGCCACTGCACTCGGCCCAGCAGTCAGCATTTGTAATAGGGATTCACTGTTAGTCTGTGAGCAGCTCAGCAGCCCCACATACACCCCAGAGTGTTAAGGATGACTGGATTCTTCTCTGGGGAGGAGAAAAGGCTATGTAGGTATAGTGGGTATAGTAGGTTCAGAAAAGCCTGTATTGGAGGCATGAAGGATCTTCTGTTTTTTTGTATTTTCTGTTTTTTTCCTTTTAGTATTCAGTAAAGGCCTTTTTCAGAGTCCCCCCCTGTCTCAGGTAGGCCAGAGAGAGCAACATGGTGGGGTCAGCAAGAATCAGTGAGAATTCCTGAGGAGAAGGTGACACTCAGGAGACAGAGCCAAGGCCAGCTAGTGTCCTCTGTCTACCAGAAAGTTTACTTGCAATGTCACCCTCTGTTCTGTATTTTGTTTATTCTTTATTGTTACTCAAAGTATGCTTTTGGAACTGCTTGTATCACAACTGGGGTGCTGAGTAAAAAGGGCACATTTCTAGGCTTAACCTCTGCCTTCCTGAATCTGAACTTCTCAGGCAGGCACTGGATTAACTCTACATTCATGTGCAGATCTAAAATTAAGAACCAGCCGGGCACGGTGGCTCACATCTGTAATCCCAGCACTCTGGGAGGCTGAGGTGGGTGGATCACCAGAGGTCAGGAGTTCGAGACCAGCCTGGCCATCATGGTGAAACTCTGTCTCTACTAAAAATACAAAACTTAGCCAGGCGTGGTGACACACCTGTAATCCCAGCTACTCAGGAGGCTGAGGCAGGAGAATCGCTTGAACCCTGGAGGTGGAGGTTGCAGTGGGTGGAGGTTACAGTGAGCTGAGGTTGCGCCACCGCATTCCAGCCTGGGCGACAGAGCAAGACTCTGTCTCAAACAATAAAAATATAATAAAATTGACAGCATTTAGGGGTGTGGGTGTGTGTGTGTGTGTGTTTGAGACAGTCTCACTCTGTCACCCAGGCTGGAGTACAGTGGAATACAGTGGCACGATCTTGGCTCATTGCAGCTTCTGCCTCCCAAGTTCAAGCGATTTCCTGCCTCAGCCTCCTGAGTAGCTTGTGCCATCATGCCACCATGCCTGGCTAATTTTTGTATTTTTAGTAGAGACAGGGTTTCACCATGTTGGCCAGGCTGGTCTCGAAATCCTAACCTCAGATGATCCACCTGCCTTGGCCTCCCAGAGTGCTGGGATTACAGGTGTGTACCACTGCGCCTGGCCAAGAACCTTCAGTTCTGTGTTTATCTTTCTTCAATAAATATTTATTACAGACCGGGTGCAGTGACTCATGCCTGTAACTCCAACACTTTGGGAGGCTGAGGCAGATGGATTGCTTGAGTCCAGGAATTCGAGACCAGCCTGGGCAACATGGGAAAAACAAAATAAAAATTAGACAGATATGGTGGCGCATGCCTGTGGTCCCAGTTACTTGGGAGGCTGAGGTGGGAGGATCTCCTGACCGTAGGGAGGTCGAAGCTTCAGTGAGCTGTGATTTTGTGCCGCTGTACTCAGCCTGGGTGACAGAGGGAGACTCTGTCTCAAGAAAAAAAAAAATATTTGTTACATGCCTAAGCATGTCTAACAGCGTATAGACACCCAAGGTGCAGTATAAACTACATAGATAACGACTGTTTATGTTCAAATGGAATCTACATTTTAACAAGGTATTAGCAGAGTGGTGGAGTAAACCATTGGATAGGTTAGGTAAAGGCAGATTGGATGGCACTTTGAAAGTCTGGCAGGGGACTTATGATTCAGTAAGAAATAAGGAGCTTCTGGGCTCATCTGCAGGCTATATGTAGTAGAACCATATATGGACTAGAGTCAGCTCAACATGACCCTACCATTACCACTAGTGTGTGGCTATGAGCAAGACAGTTGACCTCTGGAACTTCAGGTGTTTATCTATAAATGAGGTTAAAAATAGCACCTACCAGCTGAGCGTGGTGGCTCACGCCTATAATCCCAGCACTTTGGGAGGCCAAGGCGGGTGGATCACCTGAGATCAGGAGTTTGGGATTAGCCTGACCAACATGGGGAAACCCTCTCTCTACTAAAAATTTAAAAATTAGCCAGGCATGGTGGCAGGCACCTGTAATCCCAGCTACTCGAGAGGCTGAGGCAGGAGAATCGCTTGAACCCGGGAGGCAGAGGTTGCAGTGAGCTGAAATCTAGCCATTGCACTCCAGTCTGGGAGACAAGTGAAACTCAATCTCAAAAAAAAAAAAAAAAAGCACCTACCCCAAAGGGTGGTGTTGGTAATTAAATGACATAATGCAAATAAAATGCTTACTAGGGTGCTTGACATATAATAAGTGTGGAATTAAAAACAAAAAGATTTATTATCTTCATTTTGCAGATGAGAGTATTCAGAAGTTACGAGTTAAGTTCTTGACAAAGGTCATACAGCTAGTAGGTGGTGAACAATGGAGCCAGGATTTGAACGCTGATCTTTCTCAAAAGCCATCTGTTTGAACCTGAGCATTGTTCTTCCTCACATAGGAATAATTCCTTCTTGGTGGGTTGCTCTGAAGCTTCATGAGAAAATGTCTGTTAAAGCGTTTAGCTCAGTGCCTGGCACACACTCAGTAGTGTTAGTTTTTGTTTTCCCTTTCCACAAACACCAGACATCCTCCAGGGATTTAAGGAATTACTCCATCCTTACTGTAAAAGTGCAGGGTTTCTCATGGGTCACTGGAACAACACGTGCTGATTCTAGGCAGGCTGCCTGCCCAGGTTTTTGCCCCCAGCAGCACCTGGGTGGAATTCTTGCAGCTGTGGATTTCTTCCTCTTCCTCTAGGGTGAAGGCCATGCCGCCTCCTGGGAAAGTTCCTCGGAAGGAGAATCTGTGGCTCCAGTGTGAGTGGGGGTCCTGCTCCTTTGTGTGCTCAGCCATGGAAAAGTTCTTCGAGCATGTCACTCAGCACCTGCAGCAGCACCTGCACGGCCCTGGGGAGGAGGAGGAAGAGGAAGAGGAGGATGACCCACTTGGTAAGACAACAGGACACAGGAAGGGGAGGAGCTCAAAGAAAGGTGGAAAATCTGACTTTCTTTTCCTTAGAGGAAGAAGGCGGCCTGAGAGAATGGTGATTTATTTTCCTAATTGTGTTTTTGTTGTATATAAAAACATTGTAAACTCATTTATAGAAAACTCAGTCAACAAGGATATAAGGAATAAATCTGCCATCCTGCCATCAAAAAGTAATTGCTGACAGTACTTTAGTGAACATTATTTTTGACATCTCTGTGCATGTGTTTACATATATTTAAATACAGATGAATAGGCTTTTTTTTTAAAGATAATTCTGTACAAGTTGTTGGCAACCTGTTTTTTTTTCCTTTTTTTTTTTCTTTTTTTTACTCTGCTAGTATTCCCAATTTTTTTTCTTTTACTGCAACCAGTCAGAAATGCATCTTATTTTTTAGAGACAGGGCTTCTTCATGTTGTCACCCAGGCTGGAGTCCAGTGTCATGATCATAGCTCATTGCAGCCTTCAACACTCAAGGGATCCTCCTGCCTCAGCATGCCGGGTATCTAGGACTGCGGGCATGTACCACCACCACACGCCAATTTTTTTTTTTTTTTTAATTTTTATTATTTTTAGAGACAGGATCTTGCTTATGTTGCCCACGGATCTCAGACTCCTGGCCTCGAGCAATCCTACCTCAGCCTCCTGAGTAGCTGGGACTATTGGCGTGTGCCACCAAGTCCAACCCTACTCCCACCTCCCAATTTTTTTTTTTTTTTTTGCTTTGAGACGGAGTTTTGCTCTGTTGCCAGGTTGGAGTGCAGTGGTTCAATCTCGGCTCATTGCAACCTCCGCCTCCCAGGTTCAAGCGATTCTCTTGCCTCAGCCTCTCGAGTAGCTGGGACTACAGGCGTGCGCCACCATGCCCAGCTAATTTTTGTACTTTTAGTAGAGATGGGGTTTCACCTTGTTGGCCAGGATGGTCTCGATTTCTTGATATCGTGATCCGCCTGCCTCGGCCTCCCAAAGTGCTGGGATTACAGGCGTGAGCCACCGTGCCCAGCCCTATCTCACACTTTTTAACCTTTCTCTGACTTATGTTTTAGGTATGCCTTTTATCAATAGCAAATAACTGGGATTTTAATAAAATCCAATCTGAAAACAATAACAATAGTGAACTCTTCTATAGTACCTACTGTGTATCAAGTATTGCTGGGTACTTTTTTTTTTTTTTGAGACAGAGCCTCGCTCTTGTCGCCCAGGCTGGAGTGCAGTGGTGCGATCTCAGCTCACTGCAACCTCCACCTCCCGGGATCAAGCAATTCTGTTGCCTCAGCCTCTTGCCATGATTACAGGTGCCCGCCACCACACCTGGCCAAGTTTTGTACTTTGAGTAGAGACGGGGTTTCATCATATTGGCCAGGCTGGTCTCGAACTTCTGACCTCGGGTGATCCACCTGCCTCAGCCTCCCAAAGTGCTGGGATTACAGATGTGAGCCACCTCGCCCGGCCAGTACTTTTTTAAACCAACATTAAAGCACTGTTTCCCACAGAGCCTATGAGGTAGGCACTATTATTATTTATTATTATTATTTTTTTTTTTTTGAGATGGAGTCTTGCTCTGTCTCCCAGGCTGGAGTGCAGTGACTGGATCTCGGCTCACTGCAAGCTCCGCCTCCCGGATTTACACCATTCTCCTGCCTCAGCCTCCTGAGTAGCTGGGACTACAGGCGCCCGCCACCTCGCCCGGCTAGTTTTTTGTATTTTTTAGTAGAGACGGAGTTTCACCGTGTTAGCCAGGATGGTCTCGATCTCCTGAGCTCGTGATCCACCCGTCTCGGCCTCCCAAAGTGCTGGGATTACAGGCTTGAGCCACCGTGCCCAGCCCTATTATTATTTTTTAGACGGAGTCTTGCTGTGTCACCAGGCTGCAGTACGGTGGTGCGATCTCGGCTCACTGCAACCTCTGCCTCCTGAGTTCAAGCGATTCTCCTGCCCTGGCCTCCCAAGTAGCTGGGATTACAGGCGCGTGCCACCACACCCGTCTAATTTTTTTTTGTATTTTTAGTAGAGACGGGGTTTCACCATGTTAGCCAGGATGCCCTGTTGGCCAGGCTGGTCTTGAACTCCTGACCTCAGGTGATCTACCCGCCTCGGCCTCCCAAAGTGCTGGGATTATAGACGTGAGCCACCACGCCTGGCCAGTACTTTTTTAAACCTACATTAAAGCACTATTTCCCAAAGAGCCTATGAGATAGGCACTATTATTATTTATTATTTATTATTATTTTTAGACTGAGTCTTGCTCTGTCGCCAGGCTGGAGTGTGGTAGTGTGATCTCGGCTCACTGCAACCTCCCCCTCCCGGGTTCTAGCAATTCTCCTGCCTCAGCCTCCCTAGTAACTGGGATTACAAGTGCATGCCACCATACCCAGCTAATTTTTTTTGTATTTTTAGTAGAGACAGGGTTTCGCTGTGTTAGCCAGGATGGGATAGGTACTATTATTATGTCTATTTTACAAATAAGGAAATGGAGGCACAGAGGAATAAAATAATTTGTCCAAAGTCGTGGTACTAATAAGTGGCAGGATTTAAAAGAAAAAGGAAAAAAACCTTTTTTTTTTTTTGGAGATGGAGTCTTACTCTGTCACCCAGGCTGGAGTACAGTGGTGCAATCTTGGCTAATTGTAACCTCCATCTCCTGGGTTGAAGTGATTCTCTTGCCTCAGCCTCCCGAGTAGCTGAGATTACAGGTGCCCGCCACCATGCCCGGTTAATTTTTGTGTTTTTAGTAGAGACGGGGTTTCACCATATTGGCCAGGCTGGTCTCAAACCCCTGACCTTGTGATCCGCCCGCCTCGGCCTCCCAAAGTGTTGGGATTACAGGTATGAGCCACTGTACCTGGCCAAAACGACTTTTTTTTAGAGACAGAGTCTTGCTGTGTTACCCAGGTTGATCTTAAACTCTTGGCCTCAAGTGATCCTCCTGCCTCAGCAGGCTGAGCAGCTGGGACTATAAGCATAGACCATTGCATCTGGCAGGAATACATTTTTCTTTTCTTTTTTTCTTTTGCGGTAGTGCAGTGGCTCATCTCCGCTCACTGCAAGCTCCACCTCCTGGGTTCACACCATTCTCCTGCCTCAGCCTCCCTAGTAGCTGGGACTACAGGTGCCTACCACCACACCGCCTAATTTTTTTATTTTATTTTTTAGTAGAGATGGGGTTTGACTCTGTTAGCCAGGATGTTCTTGTCCTGACCTCGTGATGTGCCTGCCTTGACCTCCCAAAGTGCTGGGATTGCAGGCGTGAGCTACCGTGCCCGGCGTTTTATTTTTTTATTTTTTTTTGAGACAGAGTCTTGCTCTGTTTCCTAGGCTGGAGTGCAGTGGCTGGATCTCAGCTCACTGCAAGCTCCGCCTCTCGAGTTTACGCCATTCTCCTGCCTCAGCCTCCTGAGTAGCTGGGACTACAGGCGCCGCCACCTTGCCTGGCTAGTTTTTTGTATTTTTTAGTAGAGATGGGGTTTCACCGTGTTAGCCAGGATGGTCTTGATCTCCTGACCTCGTGATCTGCCCGTCTCGGCCTCCCAAAGTGCTGGGATTACAGGCTTGAGCCTCCGCGCCCAGCCTGTTTTATTTTTTAAATATGTTTTTATTTTGCCTGTGACTCAGTCCTCAGGAGGTTCTGAGAACATGTATCGAAGGAATACATTTTGTATCACAACCTTGTACACCAAAGTTAAAGAAAAAACCGTTGAAATAATACTTTTTTTACTGAATGCTTTCTGCAATGTTCTATCCTATTCTCTTTTATTTAAAAAGAAAATGTGGCTTTTTTTTTCTTTCTTTTTTTTTTTTTTTTTCCCCTGAGACAGAATTTCCCTCTTGTTGCCCAGGCTGGAGTGCAGTGGCGTGATCTCGGCTCACTGCAATCTCTGCTCACTGCAATCTCTGCCTCCCAGGTTCAAGTTATTCTCCTCCCTCAGCCTCCCGAGTAGCTGGGATTACAGGCATGCGCCACCATGCCCGGATAATTTTGTATTTTTAGTAGAGACAGGGTATCTCCATGTTGGTCAGGCTGATCTCAAACTCCTGAACTCAGGTGATGCGCCCACCTCAGCCTCCCAACGTGCTGGGATTACAGTCATGAGCCACAGCACCCAGCCCAAAAATGTGGTTTATAGTTCATTGAACTGATTTCATCACCCACTAGTGGGTCACAACACAGTCTGAAAAACTGTATTCTACCGGAAATATGGAGGCAGCTCTCCTTCTCCCACCCCAAATTCTGTTTTAAGTCTGGTGACTGTGAACCATAACTGATAGTTTCAAAATTCAAGTCATATTTATACAAAAGAAAAATTGGGGCATGATTATATTTTCTAAAGTATCTGTGTTTCAAAACAAGTTAACTTCCATAAAGCACTGAAAATACAGTATTTAGAGATGCTAGAGAGATAGGAAATGGATTGGAAGAGTTGATGGGGCCTTCTTGGAGAAGGCAGATCTTAAGCAAAACATGAGGGGAAGGAGGACTGGTGGTTTTACAAGAAGTGGGAGGTGTCTGAGATCGAGAGGCAGCATCTTCATCAGGAACTGCAGAAACACATGTCAGAGGTCTTGCATGCCGGCCATTTCTGCTGTCTGTTTCTGGCATAGGCCTTGCACACACACTCACCTCTGCCTAGACCACACTTCACCTATTTACAGATACTCATCCATCGTCCTTCAGAGTTCAACATGGGGACGCTACTCAGGACACCATGTCTACATCAAATTATCTCTGTTTAATACTTTTATAGCACCACGTATATCCCCACTTTGTAACACTCATCACTGGTTGCAATTTTATATTTATAGATCTGATTATTTGATGAATATGCTTTCTCCCTGACTAAAAGCTATGTGAGGGCAAGGAGTGGGACACTTTTTACTTGTTATAGTCCCTCTACCTGGCACACAATTTATGTTCATTAAATACTGGTATTTGCTAAATGAACTCCTGGTAATTGGATTAGAGTCCAGCCTCCTCACTCTCTGTTTAGTGCTGCAGGGGGAAGGTGACCTGAGCCTTGGAAAGTGTCCGACTCTTCCTTTTAAACCCCTTTCTACAGAGGAAGAATTCTCCTGCTTGTGGCAGGAATGTGGCTTTTGTTCTCTGGACAATTCTGCTGACCTCATCCGCCATGTCTACTTCCACTGCTACCACACCAAGCTGAAACAGTGGGGGCTGCAGGCCTTGCAAAGCCAGGCTGACCTCGGCCCCTGCATCCTGGACTTCCAGAGCCGGAACGTCATCCCTGATATCCCTGACCACTTCCTGTGTCTGTGGGAGCACTGTGAGGTCAGCAGGCAGTGCCAGTAATTGGGGTGGAAGGAAGCTGGGGGTCTTAACTCTGAAGCCTTGTCCCTTTCAGGGATGCCTTCTATTTCCAAGATTCCTGCTAGTATCTCTCCTCCATTTCTTTTGCTCTCTTTAAAATTTATTTATTTTTTACACACAGGCTCTTGGTCTGAAACCCAGGCTAGAGTACAGTGGTGCAATCACAGCTCACTGTTACCTTTAACTCCCGGGCTCAAGCAATACTCCCACCTCAGCCTCCCAAGTAGCTAGGACTACAGGCATGTACCACCATGCCCTGCTAACTTCCAAATTTTTTGTAGAGACAAGGTCTGGGTATGTTGCCCAGGCTGGTCTCGAACTCTTGGCCTTAAGTGATTCTCCTGCCTCAGCCTCTCAAAGTGCTGGGATTATGGGGTTGAGCCACCACCGCACCTGGCCACTCGTCCATTTCTGTGTAGTGCCTTTCTTCAAACTTTCCCATCCCCATCAAGTTAATTTGGGAGAGAGCCAATAATTCTTTGGGCACATAGGGGTGAGTCCCTCTACCCACCCTCAGTCCTCACCCCAAGTTGCCCTGGCACAGAGTTCCTTCGACAATCCTGAGTGGTTTTATCGGCATGTGGAAGCACACAGTCTGTGCTGTGAATATGAAGCAGTCGGCAAGGACAACCCTGTGGTGCTGTGTGGCTGGAAAGGTAGGGCTACTCCTTAACTTCTGGTCTCTGGAAGAAACCCTGGGGTTGCTGAAGAGCTAGGACAGAAAGGGATAGGGGTCCTACAGGGGCAAGGTTGGCTGCTGGCTGGAGGGACTCAGGGGTACCAGATCCGAGGCAAAACGGGTTTTGTGGCTGGAGACTGACAGGGCTTCCTTCCTAGGCTGTACCTGCACCTTCAAGGACCGCAGTAAACTTCGGGAGCACCTCCGCAGCCATACCCAGGAGAAAGTGGTAGCCTGCCCCACCTGTGGGGGCATGTTTGCCAACAATACCAAGTTCTTAGATCACATCCGTCGCCAGACCTCATTGGATCGTAAGTAGTCAGAGGAAGTGGGGTAGATGCAGGCTGTCCTGCTTGCAATGGGTTAGGGGCATGTTTCTAGCGGGGGTGGCTGCTGAAGAGACCTGCCTCTTGGCTCCCTCTTCTTTTTGGGCTCAGGCACCTCCCATAGTCTCTTTGCTGATTCAGATTCGTAGACATTGTTATTCAGTACTTACTGTGTGTATTACCAGTTACTCAGGGAATCCTCACAACAGCCCCATGAGGTAGGCTTCTTATCCCCCTTTTTGCAGATGAGGAAACTGAGGCTCAGAGAGGTTAAATCACTTACCTGAGATCACACAGCTAGTAAGTGGTGAAGCTGGAATTCTAACTCAGGTTCTCCAAGTCCCATGCTCTTTCCATGATACTGTGTCCATTCATAGCTCCCTAAGCTCTCCTTTTCTCCTTGGGTGGTTCCCTTCTGCCTGGGATGGTTCCTGTCTCCTTTCTGTGCCTGTCCACTATCCCCTACAGCCCTCCTTTCTTCTGCCTGCCCCACCCCAGAGCAGCACTTCCAGTGTTCTCACTGTTCCAAGAGATTTGCCACAGAGCGGCTGTTGCGGGACCACATGCGCAACCATGGTGAGTGGCCTGCGGCCCCCAGCCTCCTTGCTGCCCTCCAAGCTTCCACAAGTTCTCACATCACAGCCTCCTCTCTGCTTCTCTCAGTGAATCACTATAAGTGCCCTCTGTGTGACATGACCTGCCCGCTGCCTTCTTCCCTCCGCAACCACATGCGCTTTCGTCACAGTGAGGACCGGCCCTTTAAATGTGACTGTTGTGACTATAGGTAAGGGGGACCAGGGACCAGAAAACAGCTCGTGTTCCTGTGTTCCCCATGTCCTCCAATCCCTCCTGATTTCTCATGGCAGCTGCAAGAATCTTATTGACCTCCAGAAGCACCTGGATACCCACAGTGAGGAGCCAGCCTACAGGTGTGATTTTGAGAACTGCACCTTCACTGCTCGCTCCCTCTGCTCTATCAAGTCCCATTACCGCAAAGTACACGAAGTGAGTGGGGCTGGTGGTGCGAAGGGCTAGTGGAAGTATGGGGGACCCTGGGGTGAAGAACTGGTATCATTTTACCCTTCCTTCCCCATCAGGGAGACTCTGAGCCAAGGTACAAATGTCATGTGTGTGACAAATGCTTCACACGGGGCAACAACCTCACCGTGCACCTTCGCAAGAAGCACCAGTTCAAGTGGCCCTCAGGGCATCCCCGTTTTCGGTATGTCTCTCAGCCCTCCTTCCCAGATTAACACACTTGTTTTTATACCTTTTCAACAAGTTGTGAAAACCTTAATTTGATGGTGGTTTTATGTCTACCATTTCCATTTAGATGCAAAGAATCCTAAGAATAATGGTGGAGCAAAGCTTATTTTTCTATTTTTTGATTGTAAGGCATGGTGCCAAACCCAATTAATCGTGCCAAAAAGTCCTGCAGCCGGAACTAGAGCTAGAGTCTAAGGGTTCTGATCCTTAGCTCCAAGGCCTTCTCATAAATCCTTTGACACTTTCACCCTTCAACACAGTCAGTCTCTGTTTCTCTGGTTGGGTTTCTACATAAAACTTTCCATTTTGAGTAATGATCTTTCCCTCTTGCCTTTTCTTCTACATATTCCAATAAAGACCTTTTTTGTCTTCAACTCCTGTCACTTGGAATCCAGGACTTCTTCCATCCCTCATGTTTGTTCCTTACTTTGCCAGCCTCCACGCCATTTCTGTATCCCCCTGCCTGGATTTGCTGCCCTTTATGCTCCTACCTCACCAGGTACAAGGAACATGAAGATGGCTATATGCGGCTGCAGCTGGTTCGCTACGAGAGTGTAGAGCTGACACAGCAACTGCTGCGGCAACCACAGGAGGGATCGGGCCTGGGAACGTCGCTGAACGAGAGCAGCCTGCAGGGCATTATTCTGGAAACAGTGCCAGGGGAGCCAGGACGTAAGGAAGAGGAAGAGGAGGGCAAGGTTGGCGATGGGACAGCCCTCTCAGCCTCTCAGGACAACCCCAGTTCTGTCATCCATGTGGTGAATCAGACCAATGCCCAAGGCCAGCAAGAGATTGTCTACTATGTGCTGTCTGAAGCCCCAGGAGAGCCTCCCCCAGCCCCTGAGCCACCCTCAGGGGGCATCATGGAAAAGCTTCAAGGAATAGCTGAGGAGCCAGAGATCCAGATGGTTTGAAGGCCGCAGAGCCAGACTATTTCTTCTCCAGGTCCTGGAGTTTGAGCCAGGCAAGTGGCTGTGCCCCTAGTGGACAACCGTTGCCAATGGATGCCTTTAGGAGTGGTGCTGAGAGCAGTGTGGTCCACTCTGGTCTGGGTTTGCATCATTCTATGGACTCTAAAGACTTCCCTTTTCTGCCAGACTGCATTTTGTGGGGAGCCTGAGGACTTTGGATTCTTTGAGGGGATCCTAGATGTGTGTGTTCTTGTTAAAGAGGCTGTTATCAGGCTTAACCATAACCCTCAAGACATGCTTGACGGTGATTAAATCCTTAGCTCACATCCATTCCCATCTTTAGGGCTCCTTAGGCCCAAAGATGGCATGTGACTGGTCCCTACAAGGGTCCTTTCTTTGTCGCCAGCCAAGGCATTGAGAACCAATTAGCCATTTTCCTCTTAAGGTTTCCTCTACAACCCCAAGGACTTTCATGATTATCCTCAGGGACAGGATAGGAGGCATTGAGCGTGTTTATTAACAAATTGTTTTTGGTAATAAAAGAAATGCTTGGACTCTTACTCATTTCTTCTTACATTTGGTGGCAGTTTAATAGGTAATGAGGAGAATAGCCACCCAGGAGAGGAGCTGAATAGTTAGGCTTGTTCCCCTTCTGGTGACTCAGGTGGTTGGTTTTTTGTTGGCTTAACTGTCCTGTTGTCCTCTCCTCCTCCCCTTGGTGAAACTTCACTATTTCTTCTTAGAGTATATGCCATTTCCATGGAGGTCCCAGGTCTTTGGCTGTGAGTGGGCAATAGTGGTACTATAGAATGAACAAGAATGGGCTCACCAGGAGGATAGGACAGCTGACTGTGGCCTCACTTTGAATACTGATTAGAACCCAGTGCCTCCAGGGTAGGGGTTCTTTACCTGGGAGTGGGAAGGAAGCTGGGGGTACAGAGTGGATTGGAAAGCCTCCTAGGGAAGGGAGGCAATCAAATGGTCCAGGAACCAAACTAAAAAATGATGTGTCTGTGCATTTTCCTGGGGAAAGGATCTGTTTTTTGCTGGATTCTCAAAGAGATTGAAACCTTGCAAAATAAGAATCATTTAGTCTGGTTCAGCTACTTCTCAGCACCCTGTGTCCATTTTTATGGTCTACTGCTATACTAGAGAAGTCAAGGAAATAGTCTTGGGTGGACAGGAAGCTACCCAAAAAGGATCTCTGGGCCTTTTTTTTTTTTTTAAAGACAATTCTATTACTAAAAAAACTAAGGTCGGGTGTGGTGGTTCATGCCTGTAATCCCAACACTTTGGGAGGCTGAGACGGGCGGATCACAAGGTCAAGAGATTGAGCCCATCCTGGCCAACATGGTGAAACCCTGTCTCTACTAAAAATATAAAAATTAGCTGGGCATGGTGGTGTGCACCTGTAGTCCCAGCTACTTGGGAGGCTGAGGCAGGAGAATCACTTGAACCCGGGAGGCAGAGGTTGCAGTGAGCCGAGATCATGCCACTGCACTCCAGCCTGGCAACACAGCGAGACTCTATCTCAAACAGACAAAGAAAGAAAGGAAAACTGTGTGTCTATTTGTGGAAAGAAAAAAATATCTTCATTAATCCCATCAGCCATTTACTGAGTTCCTACTATAGTCCAGGCACAGGTGCTAAGGATACGAAGATGAATAAAACCCAGGACCTTCCCTGGAGGGACTTGCAATATAGAAGCAAGGAAAGACTAGGTAAGCTGAGTGATAGAAGTTTATCAGGGTACATTTAGAAGGCTCCAAATAGGAGTAGATGGTATTACCTGGGCAAGGAATCAGGAAAGGTTTCATCCAGGAAGAGACCTTCCGCCTAACCAAGACTAGATGAAGACTTTAAAGGTTCTAAACTCCAAAAAGATTGTGGTGTCCCATTTTTCATATGTAATCAGAATGAAAATATTAAGCCCTGAAACATATTTCAAGTTCAACATGATTATACTTATATACTGTGTATAGATTGACTATCAAATTCTGTTTCTAATTTTTTCCTTTATTTTTCAGTTCCCCTGTTTTGCTGGTGTTCTAAGCACTGACATGGCGTGCCCTTTGAGTAATACCACACTAGTGACTTTATCCATTCTTCCATGAGCAGTGTCTTTGGGAACAGGCCAGCATTCTATGAAAAGGGCCTTCCCTACTAGTCTCAGTCATGCCCACACCAAATCCCATTGCTCTATCTGGACCATGGAGACAGAAGAAGAGATTCTGGTCTGTTACCATGTGATTCCATTCCCTAGGAGGAGGGGTGACTTGGGATCCTGGACTCAGTATGCATGGCTTAGAAAGTACTGGACCAGAAGTGAGGGGTCATTGTTGAGTAGGCAGCCAAAGGCCTCTGGAAGGATACTAAAGGCTGTGGTGGGTGACAGTGGGCTCCTGGAGGAAGCAGGGTGATGATACTAATTTGGTTACCTTCGAGTTTCACCTAAAGTCAACCCTGGTCCCAGCATCATGGTGTCTGAAGATTAAGGAGACACCCTGTCTTAGTGTTCCTTAAAGTGAGTAGGGATAGGAGAGAAGGCAGGCGGTCCAGGAGTTGGAAGCAGATAACTTCTTTTCTCTTATTTGGGACAAGTCCACAACCACAGAGGACTTAGAATAACTGGGTGGATATAAAAAAATGTCAACTATGGCCGGGTATGGTGGCTCATGCCTGTAATCCTAGCACTTTGGGAGGCTGAGGTGGGCAGATCACTTGAGGTCAGGAGTTCGAGACCAGCCTGGCCAACATGATGAAACCCTGTCTCTACTAAAAATACAAAAAGTAGTTGGGCATGGTGGCACATGCCTCTAGTCCCAGCTACTCGGAAGGCTGAGATAGGAGTATTGCTTGAACCTGGGAGGCAGAGGTTGGAGTGAGCCGAGATCACATCACAGTACTCCAGGCTGGGCGACAGAGCAAGACTCTGTCTCAAAACAAAACAAAACAAAACAAAAAGTGTCAACTAAAAAGGAAAATTCAAAAACAGGCCAGGTGCAGTGACTCATGTCTATAATCCCAGCACTTTGGGAGGCCAAGGTGGGTGGATGGCTTGAGCCCAGGAATTCACGACTAACCTGAGCAACATAACGAAACCCCATCTCTACAAAAAAATACAAAAATTTAGCCCAGGCGTGGTGGTGCATGCCTGTAGTCCCATCCACTCAGGAGGCTGAGGTGAGAGAATTGCCTGAGCCCAAGGAAGTCGAGGCTGCAGTAAGCTGTGATTGTGCCACTGCACCCCAGCCTGGATGACAGAACAGTGTCTGAAAAAAAAAAAAAGAAAAAGAAAAAGAAAAATGATTCTCCAAGATGAGAAGAGAGAGGAATGATGAATGGTCATGGGGAATAAATCATTACTGTAAGATTATGACCTAGTGAATTTGGACACTCAATGCATGTTAAATGAATCAATGAATTTTGCTCAAGACCAAGAATCAAATGAGGAACATATCCACTTCATGTACAGTAGCAGAGAGACTTAAGGCTGAGAGGGAAGGGTGGAGGAGATGGTGAAAGCTTCTTCATACTATGCTAAATAGCTTGGATTTCTTAGCTGGGGAGGGAATGTGGAGGACAAGTAAGTAGATGAAACTTGGAAAGGAATGGGGATGTCCCTCCCCTCGTGGAACTTAAGGCTAATTTCCTGAGGGAAAGAGACTAGAAGCCAAAGGGAAGAAGCCAGTGAGAGAAGATTTCAAAAATACAAGAGAAGCCTGGTGCGGTGGCTCATGCCTGTAATCCCAGCACTTTGGGAGGCAGAGGCAGAGGCAGGGGCAGAGGTGAGAGGATTGCTTGAGTCCAGGAGTTCGAGACCAGCTAGGGCAGCATGGCAGAACCCAGACTACAAAAAACTACAAAAAGCAGGGCATGGTGGTGCGTGCCTATAATCCCAGCTACTCAGGAAGCTGAGATGGGAGGATGGCTTGAACCTGGGAGGTCCAGGCTACAGTGAATTGTGATCATGCCACTGCACTTTAGCCTGGGCAACAGAGCCAGACTCTGTCTAAAAAGACAAACAACAACAACAAAAAAAGGGAGAAATCTACAGGAGAGAGGATATTGATAGGGTAAAGCCCCTAGATTTGGGGTGGGAAGAAAAGAGAAATAAAGGAGGGGGGGGGGAAGCGTATAGAGAGAACAAGTAGATAAATAAAAAACTTAAAAAAAAAAAAAAAATGGGCCCCAGTACAGGAGGAAGAATGGGGAACGGAGGGAGTGAGGAGGAGATGGCATTGACTCATGGAAAGGAAGCTAAAAAAAAAAAAAAAAAAAAAAAAAAAAAAAAAAGAATGGATAAGAAAAGAGATGGGAGTGGATATGGATTTTATTCATAGGCATAAGGTGGATTTCATGCTCAGTGGTCTCTATTTCATTGATAAAGTAGGAATTAAAGTTATTGAAGATAATTTGTTGGATTAAGGATTTATATGAATTGACACATTTTAGAAATGCCATTTACAGATACAAGAATGAGATAGAAGACCTGACCACCCAGCTGAGGTTGAAGACCAAGATCAGACAGGGGCAACTTCAATACAACCATACAATTTTCTTTTTCTTTTTTTTTTTTTTGAGACGGAGTCTCGCTCTGTCGCCCAGGCTGGAGTGCAGTGGCCGGATCTCAGCTCACTGCAAACTCCGCCTCCAGGGTTTACGCCATTCTCCTGCCTCAGCCTCCCGAGTAGCTGGGACTACAGGCGCCCGCCACCTCGCCCGGCTAGTTTTCTGTATTTTTTAGTAGAGACAGAGTTTCACCGTGTTAGCCAGGATGGTCTCAATCTACTGACCTCGTGATCCGCCCGTCTCAGCCTCCCAAAGTGCTGGGATTGCAGGCTTGAGCCACCGCACGCAGCCTTTTTTTTTTTTCTTTTTTTTTTTAGCAGACAGGAGCACCCCTGGAACAAAAACAGAAGGCAGACCACTGGGTGTATCACAGCAATGGCGTGGTGGCCAGGACATGGGTTGCACAGGGCCAAGGAGCAAGGCAATTAGAGCAGCTAGAGATGGATCATCAAGTCCAGACTGGACGGTGAGGGCCTGGGAATCTGAAGGTAGTACAGCAGTTAGTCACACCACTGGAGATTCCAGTGAGGCTTCTGAAGATTAGTGGGCAGAAAGGAAAGGTTGTGGTCAAGAAGGGGACTTCTGTTTAATTGATGCATAATAAGTATGCATATTTATGGGTAATATGTGATATTTTGATACTTGCATACAATGTGTAATCAAGGTAATTAGGATATCCATCATCTCAAACATTTATCATTTCTTCGCGTTGGGAACATTTCAAATCCTTTTCTGGCTGTTTTGAAGTATGCAATAAGCGGCCAGGCAGAGTGGCTCACTCTTGTAATCCCAGCACTTTGGGAGATCTAGGTGGGCGATCACGAGGTCAGGGGCTCGAGACTAGCCTGGCTAACACGATGAAACCCCATCTCTACTAAAAATACAAAAAATTAGCCGGGCATGGTGGCACGTGCCTGTAATCCCAGCTACTCAGGAGGCTGAGGCAGGAGAACTGCTTGAACCCAGAAGGCGGAGGTTGCAGTGAGCC